TTTCTAGATCGGACATCGTGCTGTAGCACCAAATGTAAATCGCGTCTCCCCAATCCTTTTTTAAAACTAAATGTCTTCTTCAGCAGCTATAGAGGTGGAGCAGAAGGCCTTCAGGGCCGAAGTTGAAGCCGTGAAGCAATGGTGGTCGTCGCCACGCTGGCGCTACACAAAAAGACCGTTCACGGCAGAGCAAATTGTCTCCAAGAGGGGAAACCTACCCATCTCCTACCCAAGCAATAACCAAAGCAAGAAACTTTGGGATATTCTGGAGAAGAAATTTGAGTCAAAAGAGCCTAGTTACACCTATGGCTGTCTTGACCCCGTCATGGTCACTCAGATGGCCAAGTACCTAGAGACTGTGTATGTCAGTGGATGGCAATGCTCCTCTACTGCTAGCAGCACGCACGAGCCCAGTCCTGACCTTGCGGACTACCCTATGGTAAGTTTTATTTGTTGCGTTATCATAATTGGATTCGATTTTCACCTGTCATTCTGAATGAAATGTGGGGTGTGGGGTTCCTAGGCATGTGACTCACGTGCAATAGGATACCGTTCCAAACAAAGTCGACCACCTCTTCAAGGCGCAGTTGTTCCACGACAGGAAGCAACGAGAAGCGCGCCTATCTGTCCCGCCATCGGGGCGTTCTAAGCAGCCGAGCGTCGATTACCTTCGTCCTATCATCGCTGATGCTGATACTGGTCATGGCGGACTCACAGCTATCATGAAACTCACAAGGTTGTTCATTGAGAGGGGTGCCGCTGGAATTCACATTGAGGACCAAGCACCTGGGACTAAGAAGTGTGGCCATATGGCTGGTAAGGTGTTGGTACCAGTGGGCGAGCATATCAATCGGTTGGTGACCATCAGGGCGCAGGCCGATATCATGGGTAAGCCTATAATTCCCCTCCTTTAGTACCATCATTCTCACTCATGCATGCGCAGGTGTCGATCTTCTTTCCGTTGCACGCACAGACTCCGAAGCTGCAACCCTTATCACTTCAACCATCGACCACCGGGACCACCCCTTCATTCTCGGATGCACAAACCCGTCGCTTCAGCCCCTCGTCGATCTGATGATCATTGCCGAAGCCTCCGGCAAGTCCGGCGATGCACTCCAAGCAATTGAGGATTCCTGGCTAGCGTCTTCCAACATCAAGCTTTTCGATGAGGCTGTTATTGACGCTATCAACGCCGGCAGGTACCCCAACAAATCCGGGTTGGTTGAACAATACCTTTCCGCCTCAAGGGGAAAGAGGAACTCTGAAGCACGGGCTATCGCCAAGGGCATCACCGGGACAGATATTTTCTGGGATTGGGAGAGTCCGAGAACTAGGGAAGGATTCTATAGATACAAAGGTGGCACCAAGTGCGCTATTATGAGAGCTGTGGCGTACGCTCCTTACACCGATTGCTTATGGATGGAGAGCAAGAAGCCGGATTTTGCGCAGGCCGTTGAATTCGCCGAGGGTGTCCACACTGTTTGGCCTGAACAGAAACTTGCTTACAATCTCTCGCCCAGCTTCAACTGGAAGGGTATATTCCTCTCACCAACCTCTGTAAAATATTAATCTTGTGCTAACTCCTCAACGCAGCCGCCATGCCTCCCGACGAGCAAGAAACCTACATCAAGCGGCTCGGCAAACTCGGATACTGCTGGCAATTCATCACCCTCGCAGGTCTTCACACTACTGCTCTCGCATCAGGTTCTCCCCCCTCTCCCCCACCCCCCTTTCTAGTTGGAGAAAACCCGCACTAACCCAACGTAGATACCTTTGCAAAGAACTATGCCAAGCAGGGAATGAAAGCCTATGGCAATATAGTGCAAGAGCCAGAGATGGAGAATGGCATCGACGTTGTTCTTCACCAGAAGTGGAGTGGGGCAACCTATATTGACAGCATGCTGAAGATGGTCACCGGTGGTGTATCGTCAACCGCGGCGATGGGTAAAGAGGTTACGGAGACGCAGTTCACGGGATACACGAAGCTTTGATCATTTCTAAGACCTTTTGCTTTCTCTTTCTTCCTCACTTTCGCTTCTTCTTTAATCATGGGAAGCTGCAAGTGTGGGTACCGGTAGAACTGATTAGAAGACTTATTTTTTTTGCTCCCCCTCTTCTTTTTTTTTAAAAAAAAAAATCAAATCTGGAGAGGAAGTGGTGACGGGTGATGATTGACTGCCCAATTGGGTTTTGGTTTTCTTCCCATTCGTCTGGGTGATTTGTATATCCTAAAAGTACCGAGATTGACCGAATTGATTGATTCAAAAATTTAATCCTCATAATCCTCATAATAATAATTATCATTATTATAACAATATTCCACCTACCACTCTCACCGCACCCCCAAGAACCCCGCCAACCACAACCATGCCCCAATCCGCCTAACCCCCATAGCCCATACCAGCACTACACATTGCACAACCCACACATAAAACCCTACCAAGAACCCCTCCCCCCACTTGCCAAGCCCTTTTTTTTTTCTGCACTTTCCAACAACCACACCTCATACCGGGTTGGTACCACCTCTAAGTAGCAAACCCAAACAGTTTCACAGAAGACATTGTGGCCGAGTGGTTAAGGCGACAGATTAGAAATCTGTTTCGTTCGCGAGCACAGGTTCAAATCCTGTCGATGTCGGGTTTTTAATAATTTTTCTCTTTTTTTTTTTTTCTTTTTTGATTACGGCATTCTCGTAACCCATGATAGAAGAAAGAAAACCTAACCCTATTGATAAGGGTGGTTTGGTTGCACATGATATCATAGGTATGAAACGGTACCTACGGTATCACGGTGGGTTGTAATTTTTTGCTTTTTGGGGGGAGGGGAGGGAAAGTGGATTTGAGGTTTGAGGTGGATGGATGGTCAGCGGGAGGGTAAGTCTACGAGTACGAGTAATGGCGGGCGGAGGTTTTTGTAGGGGTGGCTTGGTGAGGTGGGAACCGCAGGGGATGGTGGTGGAGGTTCTGGAGGAAGTCGGATTGAGCTGGATTCACCGTGTCATGTCACACATAAATTTAGAACCAATACGGTAGTAACTTGTAGGGAGATGACAGCGGTAGTCGATAGACTATGAAAAAGGCCCAGTTCCAACAAACAAACCGAACAAAGATAATAAATTATAATGAACAAACCCACTGAACGAACAGGTATGCAGTTTTGCACTCTGCTGCGGTAGGCCACAAGCGATACCGGCACACGCAAAAAGAATCGCCAATTCGAGCAGACAAAAACAAAAATCCAGCAGTATGATACGGTCTACGAATTAGTAATGAACGATACTTCACCACCCAAGCAAGCAAGCACACAATATCCCAGCAACCACGCGCAAAGCCAGGGAAAGCGGGAGAAAGCGATGCGCAAAGGACGGGATCGCACAAGATGCGGTACCGAATGATAGATGGGTGAATAATATACAAGTTAGGCACAACAGACATGATAATGTGGAAGTACCCGCGAACCCATTCCCGACTCCGCGCGTCGATAGTTTGATATATTGTAGAACACAGGCGACAGGCGGCACGGCGATTCGACAAGCCCGGATTCAGCTCAACTTGAAACGTTCGCCTTCGGGGCGTGCATTCCCCAGCACGAGCGCATTTCACGATGAATAAAATGGCGAGTGGAGATAGTTCCAGTACCGGGCCAGCAGGGAGTAAGCAATTCCTCCTCCTCTCCTGCTGGCGGTGACACCGTCAGGATGATATCGGCCACTCCGCTTTTTGCTCTGCTAGCGGTAAACCTCACACTCGGCATGGGTGCCGTACAGTAGGAAAAAACAACGCTCCGATTGAGCCGATTTGTATCCCCCACTCCGCCATATAGACTGACAAAACTGCCAACCGCCATCAATGATGGGGAGGTACGAAGTCCCCAGCACGCCTCAAACCGAGCACACGACGTATGAATACTGCAGAAACGCGGGTGTGCTGCTTCGAACGTTAGACTGCCCGTATAAACTCCCACTGGGACAGGTGTACCGTACCTGCTTTATTTTCCTTGCCTTGCTGACCAAAAATACAACATTTGTTGCTAACAGCCCAGCACAGCTTGTTTCCCCATTGCCGGTTATCCCAAGTGTGTTAACTTATTTACCATCTTTTATAGGAAGGTTTGGCACCATCCATACTCAACCAGATTTGCATGGAATCTTGAGGAAACTAGATGGCGAAATAAACAAATCCTGCTCTCATGTTTGATCTTGATATCCCGGCAACTCATTTCGTGGAACTGCTGTTGCTTTCCCCCGCCTAGAGTCACAGACTAAGTATAAGCCGGTTCCAGCAGGCGATGAAAGATAAAATGGCTACACCAAATACCAAATACGATACCTCCTCGCCGGCAGCCAGAAGGTTTGTTGTGAACCATACCGGTATCCTCCAGAAAAATACACCTCTACCAGAACACCTGTGCCTTCCATGTACCGAGAACTTCAAACCCCCCATTCGAATGACATGAGGACTTGCCGGATTGAAGCCGCATCTCTTTTGGCGCATCACCAAAAAAGACACGACTTCAGTCAGATGACAGGAGTACGCGAGGTAAAACACTCGTAGAGGCAGAGGTAAGCTAAAGTTAATTTTGTGTAAGATACGAGTACAATAAGAAGTAAAAGGAGCAGGGGCGACCAATTCACTAATAGATAAACACACACTAACCAAAAAAAAAAACACAAGACAGGGTCGCAAGTTACAAAAAGAAATTAAAACAATGAGAATTCCAGACCCAGAAACCATGGATAGCGAATAAGCAAAAAGTAAGTAGAAGAATAGCAGGGGAGGAAGGGGGAAGGGGGAAGGAGAGGAGGGAAGAAAAGTTACACACTATTATCTCAAATAAAGAAAGAAGGAAGAAGGGAGGGAGGGTGAAAGGGCAAGATCGAGAAGGTGCAAAGTGTGATTGCTTGCCAGTTTGGTTCGTCGGAGCGGAAAAAGAAAACTGAACTATCATAATAGCTCGGACCCTGCCCCCCAAAACTCCAATATCAAGAAAAAAAATAGACGATTCCTCCTTGACCCTTTCCCCTAAAGCTATGTACTATTGAATTAAAAGGAAAAAAAAAGAGGCAAGAGAATAAGAAAAAAACTTGACGGTCCCCCTCACTTTAGGAAAGGCAGGAAGGAGCAATCGCGGTGACCTTCCATTCGAAAAACGAGGCGAAGGAGCAGGTTAAAAGAAAACAAAAACCTCGGCCAAGATCTACTGCTCGAACGCTAGCCCCTCTTTTCTCCCACCCATTTGCGGTCACAAATTTGATGAATCTAGGTAAAACACAACTTTTTATATTCATATCGTTTCGGTCGTTAATCGTTGTCGCCCTCCACTAGGAATACCTTCGTCCAGCGCCGGGAGGTGCCATGACTCCGCCACCCATACCAGTCATTCCGCCATAATGACTGGTCATCATTGGAACATGGCCATAGTCATTGTTCATGCCTGTATTCATGTCCAGTGTGGCCATATTCCCCCCGTTGGATCGGGCGACAGGGCAGTCCTTATGTGCGAGGAGCAGCGTCTTGAGCGAAACGATTTCTTCCCGAAGAGAAGTAACTTGGGCGGTGAGTGCATCGTTTTCACTAGAAAAGATCTCAACCTTTGCTTGCAGGCTAGCAAGCCATTGCTTCTTACGTTGGCGACATTTTAAAGCGGCAACACTGCAATGACGTCATGGTTTAGTGGAGACGACTCGGAGTGAACAGGTAGAAAACATCGAGTGACAAACGAAATACGTACCGATTTCGCTCCAAGAAATTCTTTCGTTTCTCCTCGTCTGTCATCTTTTTGGTGTCTTTGCCATTCTCATCCTTTCCGTCATCCTGTCCATCGTCGCTACCTCCACTGACAGACATCGATTGACCTTGTGGGCCCTTGACCTTCTTTGCCTGCGACCTTCCAGTTCCTCCAGGACTATCGTCGGCTTTTCGGCGCCCAGACGAAGCGGCAGACTGTTTGCCTTTGGGGTTTTTCGGCCGAGTATTCCTCCGCGAACCCGTGTTTTGCATCTCTTCGTCACTTGACCCTCCAAAGCCGTCACTAATCTCGCTTATCCCTCGAACGCTATTGGGTATTGAGTCACCAGAAACAGATCTATTAACATTAACCCCCATCGCCGCGTTAGATGCGTTCTTAACCAAAGCCCTTTTGGCGAGGTTTGGACTCGAACCATCGATCGCGGTAGCCCCCGATGATGCTGGGCCACCGGGATAGCTAAGTGCGGATCCGGTATTCATGCCAGCACCCGAGGCACCTGCGGCCTCTTGCTGCTGGTGCTGAGCATTTGCCAACAAAAACAAGCCATTGGCAGCGTTGTGCGCTGGATCCGCCGCATGGTAGTTGTCCAATTGCTGTCTCTTCTGTTGGTCGAGGCCCGAGGTCCTATCCTCTGACTTGACATGCTGCTGTTGGGGAGACATCAACGATGGCGCGGGATGAGATGATTTTCTGGCGGCTAAGAGAGCAGTCCGTTGGAATTCCATGGTCCCTGGGGTAGCCCCGCCTCCCCCAAATTGTTGGAATAGCACGCTACCAGCTGACGATGGAGCAAAAAGAGAGCCGGAGCCCCCAGGAGTCAAGCCACTCCTAATGCCGGATTCGTTGGGGGTCAACCCCGTTCGGATGTGGGTGTCGAAAGCAAGTGAGCTGCTTGATCCAACGTTAGAGCCAGAAGCGGGGCCCTGCAGCATGGCGGGGGAAAGTGGCCCTGATCGAAGCGAGTTAAGACCCCAATTGAACGCAGATCCCCCCGAACCACCAGGTAGCAAAGAAGCAGGAGAGGTTATCGCAGTAACAGGTGGGAGAATTGTCTTGGGCGTACTGAGAGGGTCCGAGGTTGATGCAAACGATTGTTCGAAGGGATTGGGTTCCTGATCGAGTCGGGTATGGGTGGTGGTGAAATAATCTCCTGGTGTATCCCCGGACAACTTTTTATTTGGTAACGAGCGGGAGGGGCCTGGACCATGGTTGTTCTGCGGAGAGGGTTTTGTGGCATCCGGAGGCTGGTCGACGGCAACTTGGGGCGGGTGTATCGAGCTCGCAACTGGCAAAGACGAATTCGACAAAGGGGATAAAGTGTGCGAGGCAACTTTCGACGAGTTTTTCGCTGTATCTCTCCCGTTATTGTTAGACTGATCTGACGAAGGCCTTTGTTTATCTAAGTTTTACGACCATGTTAGTATCGGTAAATATAGTTACCGGATCTGAACCCTAGTAGCTTATCCGCCGTATACACGAATCATCTCAATATAGAAACACGGACGAAAAATGCAAGGAGCGGAATGATAGAGTTGTAAATGTTAAAAAACACCGACATCGTGAAAACATACCTTCACTCTTTGAATTCGACTTCTTGCTATCAACAGGAGAATGGGTTCCCATACGTGGGTTTGAGTTCGAAGTCCCTCCAGTGCTGTGGCCAGCACTACCCGGCTGCTGTCTCGAGACTACAGCCGCTGACATAGTTGATAATATGACTGAGTATGACGATATCTATGTATTTGCCGTGTGGATGATATCCTGCTTGTTCCCAAGATGATAAGGTGTCTAGTTGGGAGAGTGACGGTGGTTGGGAAATGATGTGGGGGTGATGTCGTGATGATCCGTATAGCAGCGGGTCTCAAAGCTAAATAATGGGCACAGGCAAAAGCGACGCTTTTGATTCCCACACGTGCACCAAGAAAAGACAATCCTTCCTTCCTCTCTTCCTCTCTCTTTTTTTCTTTTTTTTTTCCTTCCTCACCCAAAAACAATGATGGCTGCACAAAAATAGGGATCCACAAAAAGTGGTGGGTAGGAGATCGAAATATTCACGGAAAAGGATGCACACTTTTGGGTAGAAGGGGATGATGGGGGAAGGAAGGGAGCCAGGAAAGAGGTGGATGGCTATTATCACGGCGGATTAGCAATTACTCGTACTCTATGGCTTGTCTAGTAGCCGTCGGCGATCATCGCGGCGGGTATTGGTTGACGGCTTATGGGGGGTGGAGAGAACGGGGAGGGAGGGGGGTGGAGAGGAGTGGAGAGGGGGTGGTGGGCAGCGGGTGGCGAGCAGAGTGTAGCGTAAGCAGGTACAAGGTGCGGTAGGGAGGAAAGTCAAGGGGAGATGGACGACGACGACGACGACGACGACGGAGGGGAGGGAGGAAGGGAGGGGAGGGGAGGGGAGGGGAGAAGGAAAGAGTTACCAAAAGGTTTCGGCGGAGCAGCCAGCAACGATATGGTACCGCAGGCGTGATTTGTGTTTACGAATATGTGTGTGAAAAGTTTTGTAAGTGAACTGTATACGTACTGCGCCGGTATAATGTCTATCGGGGGGGGGGGTGGTTGAAAGGTCCTTTCGGGGTAGGTTCGGCTCTCTCTCTCTCTCTAAACTACTCGTAAAGTTTGAGGGACGTATATCAATAGTAGGAGACTCGTCCAATATGGATGGACCTTTGTTCTGTGCTCGCCCTTTTCTTCGTCGCTCTTTTTCACTTTGCTGTCCTCCCTTTATTTTTTTGGTGGAAAAGTAAGAATTGTCACGCCTTTCCTTCCCAAAAAACCTTGGGTAGATAACAGGCGGGAACCGAAAGTTTGGTAGTGGCTTGCCCGCAACCCTCAAAATGCTCGTCGCCTCTCAATTTGGAGTGAACCCAGGTACTATCTGGCGTTGCTGTTGTGGATTGCTGTTGGGGTTCC